CCCGGCCCGGCCCTTTCCGCTGCCGCGCGCGGCAGCAGCCCGGAGGAGGCGGCGCCGCGCCGCACGGTAATGGCGCTCGGGCGCTTGGGGCCGCCGCGGGGCTGCGGGTAGCGGGGGCTGCCGTGGCAGGCGGCGAGGGGCCATGCGGGTTCCCCTCAAGGGAGGCGCGGGCTCCGGCCGCGGCTCCCTTTGCCGGCACCAGGGCGGCTCTTTTAACGCTCATTTAATGGCGGGGCGCGGCGCGGGGGCGGGCAAGGCCGCAGCCAACTCGGGCAGTTACGGGAAAGGATGGYGGAAGGGGCCCTGAGGCCGGCAGGGATGCGGGCTGTCTCCTTCGGCCAAATGCTGGAACCCCWTCCAGGCAAAAGGCTAATAGCAATGGCACTCCAGCAGGAAAGATTAAAGCACTGGCTTAAATCGTGCGCGAACAGTTCTCAGAGCACTGTTTGCAGAGTTTTGGAATATTTAGCTTTGGCTGGGATATCCTAAATAAAGCTCACATTAAACAAAATTATTATAAGAACTCAGTGTACTTGAAAAGCCTTCTTGTTAAATAATTTTATCTCCTGCTTTTTGCAGAGACAAAATGAACTGCAGAKTTCCTTAGCATCAGTGGCTCATGCAGAACTGAGATGTGCTGATGAAACTGGGCTGCTTGCAATTCTTACCCATAAGGCAGATTCAGGGGCAAAATACCCCGAGATGGAGCTAAGGGAAAGGAATATATCCCTGTTGTGGATAGCACACATCCACATTTTTGCATGTGGATGCAAAAAGCATTTTGCASCTGTGCAGTAATTAATTAAAAACAAAACGAAGCAAAAAGCCTAGCTCTGAAAACTACATACCAAAGAAACGCAAAACTAAATCACAGAAAAAGCAGGACTTGGAGATCCTTAACTCTGCACTATCCATGTTGCTCAGTAGAACAGATTCATTTATTTCATTTTTTTTTGCTCCTATGTTAGAATAAATTGGTTTATAAAGACATTAGATTTTTTTTTCTCTTCCTATCTTTCTTTATTTTTTTTCTTTATTTTTTTTGAACATTGAGCTTAGAATGACATTTATGTCCAGATGCATAGATCAGAATGATACTGTTTCATAAACCTAGTGTATGAATACAAAATATTCTACTATCATATTTTTATTCTTTTAATATAAAAAATGAGAAGACTTTAACTCTGTTTTGTGTAATCTCAGCAGGGGGCAGTAGATTTCTTAATTCTACATTTTGGGCTGTTTTTTCCGTAGTTATTCCACATATACTGGAAAATTACCAAGAAAAGAAAATGGAGATTGATTGGACAATTTGAAGTGATAGCAAGTCATTTTTAAAGGTTATTTAAAGTATTTCTTAAAGTGTTATTGTATTAATATCCATTAAACTTAGTTAACCTCATAGCCTAGCAAAAATACCTCTAGCTCCTATTGCTAGCAACACATGTGTAGAAAATGAGAGACCAAGTACTTTCATACGTACTTTCACGATACGTGGCTGAAAGAAAAAAAAAGATTTAATTTCTGTTTCTATACATCTACCATTAAAAATTTATATATATGTGTATATATATATTATAAATCTTTAAAACATCAACTGGTAGAATTTAATGATTATGACAGTTTGCCACCTTTTTCTTCACAAAAATGCCTGTGCTAGATATTACTCTGGCTATAGCAGAGTGTAAAGAATACATCTGAAATTACTATAGAGTGTGTCCAGTGCATCTTGCCTTAAATGTGATTGTCTTAAGATTGATCTGTGTGATCTGTCGGTGTAAATTTGAGTCCTGCCAGCAAGTTGTGAACTAGCATGCATATGAAACTATTTATCTGAAAACAAGGTTTGAACTGTTGTTGCTCCCTGCTGCCTTTCTTATTATATGACAGTACAACTAGAAAGAAAAAAAAAAAAAAATGTAAAAGTAGTAGAGAACCTGCCATTGGCCTATCTGCAATTTCTGAAACTTTACCACCTCCTTGCAAAATTACTAAGTGACCTATCAATCTGCATCAAGTCAACCTCAATGCTTTGGAGAAGCCTTTGGATTTGGATTTTGGATTTGGAATAAAAAGAGATGGGGCTCTTGTTACCTGCTGTGGTTAGAGTTTCTCATTTTATTGACATTTTTATTGTCTGTGTGTACTTGAAGCCTGAATGCTGGGCTTAATKAGTTTGGAAGATAACTGCTCCTACTGTTAAGTTCTCAGCACTGCACTGAATAGCTAATGTTTTGGGAGTATATTTCTTTGCCATTATAAAAGCTCTATTTTGGTGAATCTGCGTTAGCTTGCAAACAATTTAGCTTATCACAGAACTACTTTGGGGAATGTGCCTTTAGGTAACCAGAAAATGATGTGTGCGTTGTTGATCATCCAGCTTTTTTTTTGAGTGATCTAATCCTATCATTTGATGCTTATTATGTGAGGTTGGTGCTGCTGCCCTCTGCTGTGCGAATGGCCATTGATAGTTTGTTGGAACAAACAACTCATTTACTGGTTTCCTTTCTTCTGTTTTCTCACCTTTGCAGCTGCATGCTCAGCAGATTGGTAGTTGTTGAAATTTCATATGTGCAAGAATTACCAGTTGCTGTATTTCCAAAATGGTAAGACAATTTAGCAGTGGTGTTTGTGAGAGCAAAGTGGTGGAGAGCCTGAGAAGGATAGTGAGGTTAACATTTATGGGAGAGAACAGCATTTGTGGGACTAGACCCTAAAGTTTTATTGTTTTGTAGTAGGGTTTCTAACTCCTTAGAATTTACACAGCATAATACCAAGTGTTTTATAATGCTCATTCTGAATTCCATGGGATGCAGGCTTTTAACAAAGATCTGATAGCTCTAAGATTGTGTTTTGTATTAAGTGGACAAAGAATTTGAATGGCTTATTTATCTTATTCACAGATTTTTCGCCGTTTATTAGATTGGGCGTTGGTTTCTAATCCTATTGTTCATATTATCATTATATTAGACTTTCTGTAATAAGTAATGGAAATCTTTAACATAAGATTTTTATTTCTTTCAAGATGTCAAGAACCAATTAAACTTTGATATGTTTTTTCCTTTAAATTGATCTTCAAACCCTAGGAAATATTATTTAAATAAAACCCAGTACATAAACATTGCTATACAACTTAGGTTATTTTCTTCTTGTATGTATTTTGCATATTGTTCAATAAAAATTGGGTTAGTGTATGAAGGCAGAAAAAATAAGTATCTTTTTTTTTTTCACCCCGTAAATCTGGGAAATAAATATCTGTTTGGATCCCGTATAAGAAGGGAACACTCTATGAGTGTTTTGTAGTTGTAATCAGCTTCCCTCTGACAGTCCCTTGGATAATTTCTTCTATACTTCCCAATTTTATCTTTGTTTTGCTTATATATATTTAATCTATGTGGAGGTAAAAGAGTTGACACATACACATAAAAAAAAGAGCTTTTAATTCTATTATGTACTATGGAAAAATCAATCATTTTTAGAAGTTTCTAATGAAACTCATTTGCTTGTCTGTAATTATATGAGATTCCTCCAATGAACAATTGAGTCCTGTTAGCCTTATTCTTCTAAAGGAATGCACATTCGAGGGAGATCAGTCTCTTTTTTTTTTTTTTTTTTTTTTTTTTTTTTTATAACTATTTGTATAAAAGGGTTGTAATCCAGTATAAGTGATATGTGATGCATCACTGATGATAGAGTCCAAATACTTGATCATCTATTTAAGGTCAAATCGTATGCAGAAATACAAGGCCGGAGGGCGCTATCAACTTTCTTTGCAACTTAATTACACAAAAAATAGGTAGGAGGATTTTGTAGTGGCTTGTTTGTTTAAATGAGAATCTTAGAAGAAATTGCAAAGCTTATTTAAGACTTGAGCCTTATCTACTGCAGTGGATTTGCTGCTGCTCCCATTGTGTCACTGCAAAACTACTGTGATAAAATTGGTTGCCATGTCCCTTTACTAAATCACTTGATTTAATAAGCACGAAAAAGAAAATAATTGCATGTTGTATAATGTGGCACACTGTAGGAACAGCCATTTCTTTGGGCACTGTAATAGCTCGGTCTGTCTGACAAGGTACATTTGTGTCTGCAGTGCTGAAATACCTTGGCATTGTGTGCAAGGAAGTTATTTCTTCCTTCTCTGCCCAGCTCGTGACAATTCAGAACCTAGATGTACGACTCTGCTCAGCCTTTCAGTGAGGGAAGATATACTTGCCTGTACTCTTTTTATCTGCTTGCCATACTGGTTTGTTCTAGTTTATAATGCTACTGTTCTCTTTGAAATAAACTACAAAATTTTGAAGTCTCTGAACAACTATTTGTTAACAACTTGGTAGCCACTAGGTTTTGTGTGTTACTTTCCTTCCTCATGGTTTAAATGAGTTTAAGACATCATGCTGAGAGCCTTTAACTTTCTCCAGGATCAAAATGTTCTATTTTTGATTATTTGTAGAGATCGGGTTTATGTAGGAGAAATTCCCAACATGAAAGCTATAGGATTTCAATCTGTACCATGCTCAATATTCTACTCGTGCTTGTTATAAGGATATAGGATGGATTCATGGGTGCAGGCTACCATATGCATTAGCTGAAGGATTTTGGGGTTTATTTTTGTTACAGAAGACTTTCCACTACCATTTAGGCTTAAAAGAGGATAATGTGTGAATAAAAGCATTCTGAATACTGCTTTTTCATCTGTTTTTCAGTAAGACGTGTGCTTCTGAACTTGTCATCCAGATTTGGAAGGCCACTGACATTTGACTTCTGCAAATTACTTGCTGCTCAGTTTGTTAATGTCATGCATATGAGACATTTAAAATGGATTTTTTTGTTCCTCCTTTTATTTTCTGTCATAGCAATATGGTACATAACTCTTTCCACAAACACTGTGATTGAGAATACAAACTCAATGTATTTTTATGAGTATGAACCAGTTTACAAACAACACTACCTCTTCACTTTGCGTGAACGCTTGAAATGCGAAGACATAAATCCATTTCTAGTCATCTTGGTGTCTTCAGAACCAAAGGATGTGAAGTCAAGGCAGGCCATAAGAGTAACGTGGGGATCTAAAAACTTCTGGTGGGGACAACGAGTTCTAACCCTTTTCTTACTAGGACAGGAAGTTCACAGAGAAGACAATGCTGCAGTGCTGTCAGTAGAAGATGAAAACATTCTCTATGGTGACATAATTCGCCAAGATTTTCTGGACACATATAACAATCTTACCTTGAAAACAATCATGGCATTTAGATGGGTAACTGAATTTTGTTCAAATACTAGATTCTTCATGAAGACTGATGATGATGTTTTCATCAACACTGGTAATTTAGTAAAATTTCTCCTAAAGCTAAATTCCTCAGAAAATATTTTTACTGGTTATCCTCTTATAGATAATTTTGCCTACAGAGGCTTTTACAAAAAAACATATATTTCTTATGAGGAGTATCCATTCAGGTTATTTCCTCCCTATTGTAGTGGCATGGGTTATATATTGAATGGGAAACTTGCTGTGAAGATCTATGAAATGATGAGTCATATCAAACCTATTAAATTTGAAGATGTTTATGTTGGAATTTGCCTAAGTATGCTTAAAGTGAACATCAGTATTCCAGAAGACAAGCAACAATTCTTTCTATATAAAATTGACTTTGATATTTGTAAGTACAGACATTTAATTGCGGTACATGGTATAACATCAAGTGAAATAATCAGGTTTTGGCAAGTTTTGTCATCAGAATCTTCTCTTAATTGCCTTTGATATGAATCATCTTGAACCTCTGAATTTCAGGGTAAAAATTTTTAAGATATAGGGAAAAATGAAACAGAACCACATGTTTAGATATGATTGACTGAAGGAGGGCTACTTTCACTGAGGCCTTGTAATCATCTTAAATGGAAAATTCAGGCCTGCACCGAATACCTTGCACGTATGTATCCTGTGCACGTAGGACAATTTGTAATGCTCCAGCCTGACTCCCTCTGACACTTCCCTCTGCAGTTTGCTGTAACAATTAGCTTTTTACCTCAGTCTCCTGGGATTTATGAAATCTCACCCACAAATGTTTCTTCTGAGAAACCAGCTTTGCTGGTGCTTTCCAGCTCCCTAGTCAGCAGGGCCCTTTGTTGTTTTGCAAACTATCTTCCTTTGCCACACTCAAAAAAGTGTTCTCTGCTCAGCATGAAACTTCAGCTACCTTCTTACTGATGTGTATCACCTTGGTGACGTTTCTGAGTGTTACGGGGCTTTGGAACATTGGATCTTACTGCTATCTGCCACATCTGATGGGGAATTCTGAAAAATATGGTGTACACTGTACACTGTGTGTTTGTATCTATAAAATAGAAGGTTTTGATGTCTTAAGCAGTGTTAATAGTCACAGAGTTTGAAGGCCAGCTGCAGAAAGGTGCATGCAACTTAGTTAATATATTATTTCTTAACATAGTAAAATCATACGTATGTGTGTCTGCTAATGCATTGTAAGAGGTATTGTAGGCCAAATAAAAACAGACATACTTAAATTGTGATTTTTATAGTTTTTTTCTGAAGTAGTTTTCTTGTTTCAGATACTACAATTTAAGGAGGAAAGTCTAGGAATCTTAAAGAAGACAAATGCAATTATATCTGTAAAGACGGTCATTTTAATAACTTTATTCATATCAGCAAAGCTAAGTTTTCAGTAGTTGACACTTCTAGTGGACAACAATACAGAATCTGTAATTGCGTTAACATAATTATTCTTGACACATCTACTGCACACTGAAGATACTAGAGTTACTCCTGTACATCTGGAATGACAGAGCACTGCCACCTTATTTGTACTAAAGCTAATATGTTATGATATATTTACATTTGGCTGTCTTTCAGATAGATAGTCTCTTAGAGACAAATTAGAAGAGATGCAGAAACCTCTAGTACTAAGATTGAGGTTTCACCCTTTTTTGTTACAATGTGGTTATGGTCAGTATTGGATTTTGCTGCCTTTTCAATAACCGCGCATAGTTCTATAATGGAATTATAGGACACGTTTAACTATAGGTGAGGTTTATGGGGAGAACACTGTCAACCATTTCAGATTTCAGTTTTTATGAATGTATATTAGGAGGGTCAAAGCTTTTCAATAATAGTTTTTCTTTTGTTGTTGTTACTAAAGTAAGTAGCTAAAGCTACAGTATTGCATAATTGAGAAAGGAATGTTATTGTAACCTGAAAACAGAGGTAAAACTGCACCTGTTCTTATGGTTTTAGGAACTGTCATTTGATTATTTTAGTGTTGTGGTAAGACCTGAGAGCTCTGTGAAAAATGGTTAACCTCTGATCATATATACTTTTTTCCTTTTTAATTATTTTTTTTCTTAAGCCTGCCATGATAAATGTTTGGAAATATATATATTTTCTGTAATAAATAACAAGAAAATGGAAACTACAGCAGAGTTTGTATTGCTTTTTCAAAAAATTGTATTATGAAAGACTATGTAACTTTMAAAAACTGGATATATAAAGCAGATAGATAGTGCTCCTATTGAGAAAATACTGAGGATCACAGAAAAATGGCTGTGCATTACAGAAATAAAAATGCAGCTGTCACTGAACAAGGTAGTTTTATATTCATGTTCCAGAATGATAACACTGATCCTAGATTACAAGGCTTTTGTTTCCACAGATGTAGGTTTATACACAGTGATCTGTTTATGCCACTTGAAATTGTAATTTAATGACATAAATTTTGCAAGGAAGTTACATGTTCCCATGTCTTCTTTTTTAGCCCATTTCAAATCCAGTTTGCATTTGCATTTGACCTTATTGCTTAAAGACCCAAAGAATGCATAAAGCAAGATTCTACTAAAAGCAAGTATCAGAGAAATCTCTAGTGTGTGCAGCAATGCAAGAGGTTGAAAAGCTTAAATCATTTTGGTCAGTTCAGAGGCTTAAGTTGGTGGTTATCATTTGGATTTAAGTTTTATAGCATGTGCTTATGCTTTCTTAAAAAAAAAAAAAAAAAAAAAAAAAAAAAAAAAAAAAAAAAAAAAGAGTTAATCACAGGTTAAGATTTTTCCAAACGCTAAGATCTTTCTTTTCCTAGTAAAAGTAAGGCAAGTAAATGGTTGAGAAAGCCAGGGGGGAATTTTTTTTTGGGGGGGTGGAATTATCTTGGAGGGGAGAACTTTTGCTGGTTGGATAGCAAAAGGGAGTTAACCACATAAAATTACAAACCACTATTTTGTATATATTATTAGAGAAGTGTTCAGAAGTCCAAATTGGTTCAATGTTTTGTGTGCATTGTTAAGCCATTAAGAATATTATTTGCTTGCAAATATATAGACRTTATTCTAGCATCAGTTCGGTGTCATCAATAAATGGACACAGAGGCTTTAGAATACTTTTGAAGTCTTATCATAGACTTTCTAGCTACAATTAAAATATTTCAATGCAAATCCATTGTAAATAACACCAGGATATCTAGAAATACAATAATGTAACTTCTATCATATTTCCTTCAAATGTAAACTAGGAACTGATTGACAGTTGGCCAATGGAATATGACACTGAATTCCTGATATGCTTGTATTAAGCATGTTAAATGTGCCRAAGGAGTGCAGCAGTTTTAGAGCTTTACTCTCACTTTCTCAAATTCATTAATCTCTATTTTTTTCTGACCAGTGTGTAACATTTTGGTCATTCATTGAAGGTAATTTACACTTTGCTTATGATAGAGCTTGTCAAGGGGAGAGAGCGGGAATTTAAAGGACATATAAAACTGCACTTTGTTAAATAAGCTTGTTGAGTTTTAATGCAGATTTTGCATAGTGCATCTTATTAATTGTATCCAAATGCAAATATTACCTATGGGAAGAAAACAACCTTAAAATGAAGCTAAGTTTTTGTTTGTTGTTTATTTGCCCATGTAGTTGAGTCCACATTTTAAATATACCTAAAATAAAAAACCTGAAGATAGTCTCCTTTAAGGGACTAAAGGAAATGCAGTTTGGAGATGGTGATATTACATGATTCTTTGCTGATGGCAGTATSTTCCTGAAACTCAGGTTAGGAAATGAAATCTCAATATAGTACAATTCGTCTCACAAACGGTGGTGAGATGTAATTTTCTTCTCATAAAAAAAGCACTTAGAAATACAAAGTTAAACTCAAGTGGTGTTTATTGATACAGTTTATATCTTTGAGCTCTGTTTACCTCTAGCCTTCTGACCGTCGCTACTCGGCACATTAATTTTTCGAGATATGATTCTAAAAGACTTGTTTTTTTAAGTTTACACTGATGAGGATGGTCTGTAGAGGTCACACGCACCCCAGTTCGCTATCCAAGCTAAGCTGGCACTGAGCCTGCTGCCCCGTCCCCTCTGCTCAGTAACACGCAGTAGGTCTGTGGTGGGCCTCAGAGCAGTAGTAAAGCGCAGTCTCCCCTGAGCTGGCAAGAATGATAACATCTTAAAAACACTTTTTCTCTGTGTAGAGGAAAATGTTACAACAGATGTCTGAAGAAGCTCCTATCTCATAATGTAGCAATGTTGAACTAAATGGAAGTTACCTTTAAGTGAGACAAATTAAACATTGTGGCTTTGTTATTTCCCATGCTGTTGAGGCTTTTAATAGACCTCTGAACTGCTCTCACAGAATTCTGAACATGCACAGTTCATCTTCATGATCAGTTTTTCTCAATCCTTTTAAGAGCACTTACAAATACACTAGGCAGAAATGGTTTTGCGGTCCCTAAGTATACTAACACGCAGGATAGATTTTTAACTGCTCCTTRTACAAAATTAACAGTTACGTGACTGATAGAAGTGGGTGCAAATGTTGAATTCAGCCCATGTTAAAGGTAGATGGATTTGAATTTATACAGGAATACAAGATTGGTCTTCTAATATAGAGAGAAAAGTCCTTTATTTCCCTGTTGTTAACTATTTTTGATTTTTTTTTCTCCAAAAGACTCAGGAGAATGGACAAAAGAACTAACCTTCTCCTAAAAGAGGATTTCAAAATTTAAGAATGTCTCTTGATGTGAATCTTCTTATTTATAGTTGCTGACAGGCTGCGGTTCCTTAGACTGTTGCACATGTTTTGTTCTGCAGTAAAACATCCAATATATCATCTATGACTGGGACAACTGATAACCTAGAACGCTGATTGGCGTAAGGGAAAACTATATTTAAAATGGATGCTGAGCTAGGCCTGTCAGTACTACATAAATAAAACTGAGTAATTCAATATTCAAATCAGTATTCTTAATTTGAAGGTAGCTATCTTACTGGATATTAGTTCTCATATTTAGAAAAATAACTTCTTATTGACAACACTGAAGGGTAACAACTCTGTCCTGTGCAGTTGTAAAAACTCAGCCAAAAGTTCTAGCCTTTTTAATCTGGTAATTTCAGTTTTGTACAACCAGATTTCAAGATGAAGGCATAAAAACTTACTGTAAAAAAAAAAAAAAAAAGAAAGAAGAGTGGTGACTTTTTTTATAATCACTTATTTTTTTAATGTAAAATAAATATTTCATCAATACTATAATAATACTTAAAGCAAGAATGCCATGTGTTCTGAAAGACAGCTGAATAACAAAACTCCTTCGTTTTCAGGAGGCAGCATTAACATTGTGCAGCAGTAGCGTGCACTGTTACTTCAAGCCAACCCAGTGTATTTACTAACCTCTGTATTCTAATTTTTAAATGGTGTAATACTGCAATACCAGTAGTTATAGCTCTGATCTTGTCTTCACAAGCCTGTAGACAGTATTTCCTTATGTTAAATGACATTTATTTTATTCATAATATTTATCTAAGTTTTTTATTTGGTAAATAGACTTAATTATTTGAAGTTTGTGTTTTTAGAAATTTTAGAACTACAGTGCTGACATGGTCATTTACAACCTGCCCTCCCCAATGAGACAGGACGAATATGCCCAGAATATTAGCACTGAGTATCACAAGAAAAGAAATGGCTTAGATTTTGTACAAAATAAAATAGCAGATCCTGCCATCCCTGAGACTAACTATGAATCCCGGAGTCCTCCAGGCTTGACTGCTGTAGCCTAAGCTGCACTGTCACCAAACACTTTGCTTCCATCAGCAAATGTGAGCGTTTAAAAGCTTTTGGAAGGAAAGCACCCGGGGTGGGGGCGTGCCTGTGTGTAAGGTGGCAGGGATGCAGGACAGGATGATTATTTGCCAAATCACACACATTTTTGGCAGCCGAGTCRCTGACACTGAGGCTGGGAGCAGGGCCCCGCGCGCGCAGCTCCACGGGCACCCGGCTCTCCTGGCCGCCCGCACGGCAGCCACGAACTCGCGGCCCCGGGAGCCGCTAGACGGAGCTCTGCGCACGCCTCAGCAGCCCCACGAGCTGCCGCCCTTTCACKGCACGGACAGACAGCCTTTCCAACRCCACACGAGCACATCATATAGTAAACACTAGYGCCTTGCGTTATTATGTGCAACAAATGTACTGCCCGACTGCAGCCGCTCCTTTATAATACCACTGGTGGGCAGAACGTAACTTAAGCACTGGCTGAGATGACTAATTGCAAGGTACAGTTTGCATACTGGACCAAACTAAAGATGTTCTTTGGCACCATCTTATTATATCACTTTTTTTGCTATTAGATGCTCTTGGTGACAGATGCCATTGATGAAGCTACTCTGCCTTAAACAACGAAATTATTCCATGAAGGTGTAAGGCAAGAAAGAGGGAGTCCTGTGTAGGTCTGTGGGCCACTCTAATGGCAGTGCAGCTCCCTTCTTTGGGCAGAGCTGAGGCTGGAAAGCGGCACTGAGGATGGCACGCAGGGAGCCTCACCCGTCCTGGCGGGCTGAGCAGACGCGGGGCTGTCTGGTTACAGTGTCTGGCAGCTCTTTCCAGATGTACGATTTAATATTAAGGCAGTGGAGGATCAGACTGTAGCTCTTGTAGGTTACATAAGCTACACATACATCTCCTTAATCTTGTCATCCAGCAGCTCTACGTATCTCTGCAGAATTTGGCACAACTAAGCACGACTGGAGAGTTTTAGTTATGGAGGTCTAGAAGATGTACTAGAATGCTTGTAACCGGAGGCTAGGTAGGCACTGGGCATGTTCAAGGAAGATTAACCAAAATCTGTAATCTCCATTAGCCATTGCCATGATAAACCCTAGGGTAACTGCAACGAATTTTTTAAAATAATAAAAACAAAAGTCAGCAGCCTTACCAGAGATCATTGGCATGAATGTCTTTGGCCAAGAAGGGGAGCTACTATGAAGAAYGAGACAAAGGCAAAATGAACAGTGCTTGCTGGGGAAAGCGAGCTGCACACAAGCTCAGAGGTTTCTATCATTTGTTCACACAAGTGGCCTTGGTTTGTGATCTCTTTTGGGGTTGACCACTGCTCCAGTTCCAGCTCCTCMTGCACGTGTGAAGGGTTGGCTCCATCCCTCCTGCTCTACCAGCTCCTCTGTGCTTTAGGGCTCTGYAGGCTCCTAGGGCTAATTCTTCTGTTCCCTGGGCAGCTGTTCTGACAACGACCYGGGCTGTGTCCTACAAGGCAAAGGCGGCACTGCTGAAACATSAGCTGTGAAGGAGAAAGCAAAGGCAAACGCTCGGCGAGCCCTGCCKGGAGCACAGCTCACATAGTGCTGCTCCAGCACTATCCCGGACATGATTAAGCACTCCCATGAAAACTGCACACAAGGTCTCCATTCCACAGCATTCTRACCTCAAATACTTTAAAACTTCAAAGTAAAACACTAGCACTAGGCTGCCCTCATTAACATTTTCGGTTACGTGCTCGATTTCCCTGCAAAGCTGTGTTTACAATTCTCTGACCACAGTTTGCCCCCGTTCAAGTCATTTTAGAAGTCCCAAACCTTCCACCTTCCAGGTAAGTACAGCAACAGTAAGTACAGCTCAGTACAGCTCTGGGTTTCAGAGAGTTCTGGACACTCCTACCATTCTGTACTGCACTGGTGCACCCTGCATATTAGAGAAGTTAAGGGAATTCCAGACCAAGAGTCTGGAATGAGAAAAGCATCTGTTTACAGGCTGGGCAGCCCTGGCAGGAGCAACATAACCAGGTACAATCTGTGATTATCCCAGAACAAACAAGAGAAGGGAACGAGATAACCTAGAAACACAAATGAACGTGGGCATGCCCTCCAACAAGTGAAAGCTGGATTTGTGTTCACACCTGTCTTGAGAAACACCTTGCCAGCTCAACAACCACAACATCACAATATTTTAGAGACAAACAAGCCGTCCCACCAGAAACTGCTATGGCTGTGGCAACAAGAAAAGTAATTACAAGTAATCTTGTATCCTTATCCAAGAAACAGGCAATGTTAGTTACTCTATTCTCTCTGATTCAGCTCTGGACTCAAATACCAAGAACCTCCATCACTTCAAGATGAGAGACTTCAGCGGATCTTGCAGGACCAAGTTGTGTGGGGAGGGAATCCCAGAGGACGATGTTGTTATGAGCCACGGTGGAGGCCAGCGAGCCAGCCAAGCCAGCCCTGCCGGCCGGCGCRGCCCTGTCCCTGCTACTGCAGCAGCTCCATCGCCAAGCAGCCACGTAGACCAAATTTACAAGGTCATTGTTCAARCTTACAGTAGTCACAGGTTCCAAAATACAATTAAATATTGAAAGTTAGACCTAAAAATATATTTACCTAGACTTAACACAATCTCTCTTCTCTGCAGTGCAATTAYACTGCCTAGCATTTACACATTATGCCAAAAAACTGCTCTAAAGTGGTCTTCTCCTAGGTTAACACTACAAAGAATCTGCAGTGGTACTATGAAATCTCTAGTAGGCAAATTCCCTCTAGTAGCTCTAAGGAATGCTTTGCTTTGCTTAGTTTTCTAAGCAGTCACTAAAGAAATAAAATTTACCTTGCGTTATTTTCTTCACATGCCTATGACAATTCCATGCTAAAAAACTGACTYTTGGTGAATGACTTTCTTCTGTCATGACAGAACTAGTTTTCTGATACAGAGGCATCAGTATTTTGCTGATTAGTTTGCTGTGTTAATTAGCTTGACTATAACATGGGGTTGACAAAATGTTTTGAAAGTAGCGCACAGTCTGAACAAACATGCGGTTTCAGGTATTCATTCCCTGTCCCTAATCACACGCTTTGCAAGGTTCTGTCTAATGCAAGGGGGAATAAAACAAAGCGAGGAGAGCCAGCTCCGCGGGGTCACACTGCTGTTTGGCTCCTTCTCTTCCCTTATATCCATGACAGGCCAATAATCGCAAACCTTTTCCAATACAACCTATCACTGCTGATTAAAAAGAGTAAGAYGAGAGACTGTGGAGCATCTTTCAACAGTTAAATCTATGGGTGAAAAGCAGCATCATTCCTAGCACTTGCTGTTAGGCAGCAGTGCTGCCCTAACCCTGCCGTGCATCCGAATGAACCCTTTGACTCTTGCAAATAGGAGGTAAGAAATCAAGGCAAAAATCTACACAGGATTTGAAAAAATGCTTGAAATAAAACATTACAGTTACTTCCGAAGGAGCCGCAAGGTCACAGAAGACAGGTACATGTGAATAAACTTAATTCTTATAATCACTCAAAATGTATTTGTTGTATTGCTCCTTTTGATAAGCAAAAAAAGAAGAAGAAAAAAAAAAGACCAGAGGGATCTGTTGCTTTTGTGTAAAATCTTAATGGTATTTACTAGAGCCTTCTACTATGTTTAAAATAGAAGTTTGTTTTAAGTTCAGAGTGAGGCAGAGAACCACTGGGAATTACTGTTCTTCTGTTTTGCTGCTATTCCTGAACTTCACCACCATAACTGTTATATTATCAGGGCATCCTCTGTAAAATGATTGTAGAACGATGCTCTTGGCACCAAAGTGCGGCTCATCCAAGCGTTCCTTGATGAACCGGACAGCCTCCTCATTGCTGAAAGCATCCCAGAGCCCATCAGAGGCCAGGATCATGAACTCCGGCTGCAGCTTGTCCAGGTCAAAGGAAAGAATATCAGGATCAGGAATGACCACGTTGAGGTTCTTCAGAGGGTAGTCTCCCAGTGAGCGGGACATGGCCAGGATCCCCTGAACGCGCCAGGAGCCATTAAAGCTGATGAAGCCACCTGGAAAGGAAGACACCCTCCATTAGAGCATTTCCCAGCCAGACCCCCCAGCATTCATGGTGCAGCATCCTCAGGCGGAAACGTCACATACATCAAGAATCAGGAGATGCCTTAAGTAAAGCAAACACGGGAGCACTGCAGGGAGGGCTGGGTTGTGCTGCCCTGCTGCTGAAACCACCGTGCACAGAACCCGCTGTGCCCTCACTGCAGTTCTGCTTCGTACTCGACTCCCCAGTGAGGCTGACAACATGCTGAACACAGAGCTAAATACTCCCCTACCAGGCAATTTATTGTTCACAAAGCCCTATGGCAACGTTAAGGGCAATCCTGAAATCAAATCTTTATATTCTTCCTTCAGCAAGCCTCTCCTTTTACTGCGTAGTTCAAGTTCAGTAGTTCCCTCATTTAGGAAGATCTGTGAAGAAAAGGTTAACACTGAAATCGCTCTGCAGCAGGACTCAAATCTCACTTCAAGGCATAAAGCAAAGAAGCATCAAGTGCAAAAAACACTTGCAGGCTCTTCTCCAAACCTGCCCCAAAAAACTTGTGTCAAAGAAGGCCTAAAAATTCTTGTTGGGGAAAAAACGTCCAAAAAAATTTGCTTCAAGTCAGAAAAAGGTAACGTGGGATTTGACTGACAGATAGAACCATCTCCAGGATTAATGCTACATCCAGTTGAAAATGTACTATTATATTTCAGAGTTGATTATAGTGAGATGCATTTTTGACTGAAGTCAATGACTGAAATCAATGGCACCTGACCATTATAGAGCTACATTTTATTAGGGAGGGAACTACTCGAGGTCAGAGTGAAAACTGAAGCACTTCCCATTGCCCGGGCGGGTCTCTGGGTGGCACTGTCTGCACTGAGTCGCAGCAACACTCCACCTTTACATGACAGAAAAACTTATTTTAGGACAAAGGATTTGCCAAGGGTATAACATAAAACATCATATGAAAAATGTGCCACAGAATCAGCTAAAGGTATGGTCTTTTATATCTGCAAGCTCTCTGCTTTGGTTTTCTTATAAATGTGTTTGTTCTTCGTAGTTATCAGAATGGTTGCAGCTTTGTGCTTCAGCATATAGAGAACTTGTTAGCCAGGGAGCCACCTAAATCTCACGACAGCATTTCCCTTCCCCTCCACGTGAAGCTACAGRCTGTATTTCATTTAATTCTTGTCTAAAGCTTGATTTGTGTTCAAACCKGCAGAAGTAAAACTTAGTATTTTGAGGTCTTCACAAATATTTCTATGGAGACTCCATTATTAAGGCATTTCTTTCCCTGGACGAAGGGTTCTCCYGGGCTGTCTGCAGCTTCCCGTGGGAAGCGCAGTCCACCACGCTCTGCCCAGCTGCTGCTGCTCTGCCTTTGGACGGCCTCTCTTGAACGCCACCCACATTACACCTCTCTATCAGCACGGGTTGCCTTTGTGACTAGAGAAACACTAACTCTGAGTGTGACCACATGCCTAGAGCGGCGTGACAAAAGGCAACCAAGAGGAGGTCACTGCAAGCAAGAGGAGGTGCACTTTCATGCACCGTGGGAGGTGCAGCCGTTACTGAGCATACGCGGGACCGGCGTGACCTGCCCTGGCAGGCAGGGCTCTGCACACACCTTGGCTCCCGCTGCCACAAAGGGGGCAACAAGGGAGTTCTCTGTGGCCCACACCGGGTCCCTGAAGCCAAACCAAAGAAATCTGAACAACCAGACGTGCCAAAAGACCAGTAAGAACACGAAATATTCCTGCTTCTTTTGCTGCTATTTACAATAAACAAGGACTCTGATGCCATCTTCGTTGGGGTMCTACAAACCTCAGGCTGTGAGGGAAGAAACGATGGTAGAGGGGGCAAGAGACGCGCTGCGGGTGGCATCAATGCTGCTAACGGGAGGACAGCAGGCGCAGGGGGCAGGTGTGCAGCAAGAAAGATGGAAGGATGCAGCACAGGAACAAACGYTGCATTAACAGCTCACAGAGATCTGATTTTATAGAAAGAAAAATGTAAGAGAGGAAAGGAGAGGAGGATTTCAGAGGACAGCAAGTGCTACAGTTTTCATGGTCACATTTATTTAGACTGATGAAAATCTGTAGCTTTTAGAAATGTTTTATGCTCAGGGAAAACCTTCTTATTTCCACTTTATAGCTGAAAAATTTGAGGCAGGAAGATGCCAGCTCTGCAGGCTTAACACAAACAAGAGCCTGAACTTTTTTTCAATCTTAAAATCTTGTTGCTGCCAGCTTCTCTRGGAACCAACACAGAAGCGTGGTCAAAAGACTGAGAAATTCATTGAGAACTGGCTATGAAGCCTGATGACAGAAACGTAACTTCCAGCCCAAGAAGCTGTGATGTTAGACTAGACCTAGCCTAAGAAGTGATGAAAGGCAGAGCCAAGAGCACATGGCACCCGGGCAGTGCCGTCCCCTGCGTGTTGGAGAGGATGGTGGCAGCTCAGCTGCTCAAAGTGCAAACGTGGTAACTCACCAGCCCTTTTAATCCTCTTCCTCTCCTTGAGCTGGTAGGGCTTGTGGTCGTGGGACAAGGGGATGGCGTTCCCGTCCTTGTCGCACAGGACTCCCCGCGAGTCGCCAACGTTGGCCACCGTGAGCTCTTTGTCTGAGAGCAGCGCAATCAGACACGTYGTCCCTGGGCAAAAAGAGAGAAGCTGCGTTAGGGTGACGAGCGGCCGCGCGGCCAGGTGTCCCCTGCGGCCACGGGCAGCAGCGGGAGCACCTTGCACTGCCATGAACTGAGAAAATTCACCTTGAAATTATTTAATCTTTACTTACACGGAGAAAAAAWTAATCAATAATTGACCACAGCATCTAACAGACCCGATAGCGGGGAAAAAATAGCTGTTTTTAGGGTAGTAACCCTACTTCTTTTATTCTCCTAATGTAATTGATGCAAAGTAGAATGGGACCCCATGGGAACTCACCTCTGCACATTTCCTCCTAGCCAAGTATCAATGGCTGCACTCACAAACATCCGAGCTATTAAAAAATATCCCTCTCGGATGCCACAATTTCATTAATGTTTTAGAACAGCAAGTTGCCAAATTTGTTTTTAGATACACAYGAGCAAACATTAAAGGGAACACCCTGACAGCTCAGATTACAGAACAGTACGAAACCTCATTTATTTTCCTGTTATCGCCAATCGTACCCCAGTATCTTCCAAGAGTAAATAGAATTAATTTCATGGTTGCTTCCCCCCTTCTCACAAAGCAGAGAAGCGCACAGTGAATCTTCAGCTCTGCCATTAATTCGTGTGTGATTATTCCCAAAAGCCCTGGCACAGAGGAGGCTGGTGGGGAGGAGCTGCCCGTGCTGGGCCAGGGATGGMGACAGGTCCCGAGGAGCTTTCAGGGCTGCCTGACGCCACCTGCTCCATTATCCGCGTGAGGACATGAGGGTGCGCAGATCCCTGCGGACACAGGCCGGACCACGGAGCTGCCAGCCCGGCCAACACCAAAGGCTCCCCAGAAGAGCAGAGAGGGGCAGTCCCGGCGTGGGAGGCCAAGGGCAGCAGCGCTGGGGCTCAGCACAGATCCRGTGTCTGCCCAAAGCCAGGAGCACAGGCTGTGTTGGTGGTTCCAAAGCCAGGATAGCTGCATTGGTGGTTCCCACGTCCACAGCCGAATGTCCCACGACTGGTATAAATAAAAGAGCCAGTAATAAACTGCCTGGGTTTAGATGCGCTGTGTTTGTTCCAAAGATTTATTTATAACTTAATGGTCTGCCTGGCACAGCTCTGAACTGGAGCTGGTTCTCATGGGCAGGAATCCCCTTTTTCTCTTGCACCAGAGGCACACGAGGAACCTGGGAAACTGGCTGCCTGCCCCAGAAACCCCTGCCCTGGAGCTACCAGGGCACATCGTGCCGAAGGGTGTGGAGAAGGTGGCAGGAAGAGGGACACGTGGCGCTGGCAGCGGACACAGGCGGCTGCAGCTGCTCGCGTGGCCACAGCAAAAGGTGCGTGAACCCACGGAACACAGGGYGGGCGGAAACCCAGGCCCCTTTGGAAGGAAATGGGAGGCCAGGAAGGACTCGTCCAGCTCAGRAACAACGACTGAGTCCCCCCTCATCTATCACCCAGCTCATTTTCTGTCCTGGATTGGAGCTCCCTCATTTCCATCCTTCACTGTCATCTGGACCTGATGTTTGTGCAGCGAGTGCCCCAAGTCGCTGGCTCTCGGGTGAACAAGATGAGCTCGTGCTCAGCAGAGCCCTCTCCCTGGTGACAGCGCCGCAAACTCACGAAAAACCTGAAGTTTCCCAGTAAGGAAAATACTGCAACTAACACTGACTGATTTTCARCTAACAGAGACTTAATGTTTGCAAAATGAAACACTTCAAAACCACAGTCATTATTACAACACTCCAGAAAAACRGTAACTTTGAACAGTCTTACTGGTTAGAGGAGCTACGTGAAAAACACATGATCTGAATCAGAAGACAATTTCCCAGGTGATTTATGGGGTCTGTCACTTCCATCTCCATCACTGCCCTGACTGGGCCGGGCCATCATTCAGTCCCTGGCCCCACGGCCCGGCCCACGTTTACACGAGAAACCAAACTGCTTCCACTCGGTTTGCTTTTCCATCTATTTTTATTTCAGCCATTTAACCTTGTGTGGAGTTAGAAAACACTGCGCTCTTGTCAGCTGCCTCCGATTTAATGCAATTGCACAATGGAAAATTCCCGACATAAAGGGTCCAGAATTGAGCACACATGTTATACGAGTCCCTCAGCGCAGTTGCCTCAATAATATCCTGCTGAGCAGTTTAAAAAGAAAATCACCCGAAGATCTAAACCCTGTAGCACAATGGCTGCAGAGAGAGGGGATTTTTTTGTTTGCCTTTATTTTTTCCCCTTTAGTCAGATAAGATTATTGGGGTTAGACAAGGTGCAACATAAAAGTCAAGGCTGCACCAGCTCTGCTAYTTCCAACACGGCTGCTCTAGCTAAAGAGCAAAACTTGGCCAGATCGAGCACGACCGAGACATGAGGAGCCCACTGGCAGGAATTAGGGCCCGAACCAGCTCCGAGATCCGCCCCAACAGCAATGGAGTTGCATGGAGTGAGGCCCAGGATCCACTGGGAGCTGCTGGACACCCACGTGTCTGCTCAGGAGAGCCCCTTGCAAGGGTCACCTTGCAGGAAAACACCTGCCCGGGCCACCTTTTACTTAGAATAACATAATTACTCAGAACTCAATTACTCAGAACGACATAAAAAGTGTGAGAATAAAAACAGAAGCCACTTGCTCTTTCTATGCTCTGCACAAACTGCAGGCAGTGCAGATAAAACCCCGACTGCAGCCCACGGGACATGGAGGACTCAAGGGATCCGCTGGAAAAGATGAGGGGGCATCAGGGAGCAAACTCCTTCCAAGCAGCAGGGACACRGGCGAGAGCAGGGGCAGGGGCGGCGCGAGGAGCACTGGCCTGTGGGGCACACAACGCTCCAAGCAACCACGTCCAGCCTGAGCGGCGCATCCCATCACCGAAACCAGCACTTCTCCACGCAGGGAAACTAATCCCAGCCTCCCGCAGTTACCTGCGAGCCCGAGCGGGATCTCGCTGCAGAGCTGCGGCCGGGGCGATGACCTTCATCCCTCCCCGTGGGCATCGCGCCCGGCGCCGCCACTGCCCCCCGGTCCCCGTCAGGCACGGGGAAGGGCCGCGAGAACCGCGCTTGCTGCTGCTTCCACCTTGCTCCTTCACACAGTGCTGAAATGCTTTAAGAACTGCACAGTCTCCTTCCCACGTTAGAGCACACACTGTTAGCAGCTCCAAACGTTGTTGCAGGAGGTGTTTTGCAAAATTCTGTAAAGCACAAACCAAAAAACCCCAACAAACTCACGTATTCTGCAATTTCCAGGGCTTATAATTCCCTAATCATTTCAACCTAACTTGTTTTCCCCTGAAGTTAAAAGAACTCCATTTTTAAAACAGATTAAATGAAACATCGGACTCATCAGCTCGGGGCTGCCCTGGGCTGCCCGCGGCAGCAGATTCAGTCACAGCTCCTGAACGGGCTCTGCCGGCAGCCCCCAACACCCGTTGCCCCCGGCCCGGTGCCGCCCTGGGAAGGGCCTCACAGGCACCACCAGCACAGAGCTCCAGGCAAAGGGGCCGAGACCCCCGGGGCTTTAACTGTAATTCACTGTCCTCGGTAGAAAACCAGAGCACTGGGTCAAGGTGACTGGCTTCAACACCTGCCTTAAGTGTGAAATAGAAAGAAACTCCGACACACTGAAGAAAGCGGCAAGCGCACCACGGAGGCAGAATGAGCTCAGCAGCAATCAATCAGCAATCAGCTCGGCCGGAAAGGGTAAAAACTGCTACCGCGGTATTTGGAAAAAAGCTGAATTCTCATTAACAGCAATCAAGGAGTAGCGGAATGCAGCTGAGTTAGGTTCCACTCCTAAAATTACCAAAGAATCACCTAAAGTGCAAGCGGCAGCAGGCAGAAGGCAGTGCCGGTGCCAATCCAGCAGTCATGGACAAACACTGCCTGCTCGGCGCTTCGTACCATACAAAATCCTTTGCTTTCCCTTCTGAAGGTGAGATCATTTCTGCCTCTTCTCTTGCTAGTAACTTCCTYGCAGCTCCCCCTCGCCTTTTGTTTTTGCCCCTGCCTGTTCTGTGCACTCCATGGCACTGGCATGCCTGTTTCTACCCGGCAAGACGTGTGCTCCTGGCCCCTGAAATCCGCAGCCCCTGCTTGCTCCACCARGACGCTGGGGTTGCCGGGCTCAGGCCACCAGCTTTCGCTCCTCCCTCACCCCGAGCCTCCAAACTCGCCCAGCACCTCCAGGTTTCTCCATTGCCCCCATTTCCCTGTGAAACACAGGTCTCAGGCAGGCTGCAAGCAGAGAGGGCATTGAGGATGTTTGCCTTTAAAGGCAGTGTAAGCAGCCCCCGATTCCTTTCTGCATATTTACCGGGCGAAAGAGCTACCCTGACACAAGCATCACCACAGAGACAATTTGCTTCAGCTTCACTGTGATGTAGAGTTACGGCAACAAAAAAAAAACTTTCTTTGCAGTGAAAAAGACAACTGGCGCACACCCCAGCCACACAACACTCAGTTTTACTGCCTTGAGTTTCTCCTTTTCTCTGTGTGCTGTGGCAGGCGGTTTCTGCGAGCAAAGACCCGCAGTGGGAGCTGGAGCTCCGGGACCTCCAGGAGCTCCAGGAGCAGCGGCACCAGCCAGGCCCTCGCGCCCAACCTCTCCCCGGAGCCCCATGGGCCTTGGATCTTGGATATTTCCAATTTTAATTTGGKTTTTTTTGCTTTTTTGTAGTTTTGCCAGAGGTGGCAAATGCTCCAGGGACTGCCTGGAGCTGGGCGAAGCGAGCGGCTTCCCCTCTGCGAGCTGGAACGAGGCCAGTTGGAAGCGTGARCTTACTGCCCAGGCCCAGCTCTTAGAGCTGCAGCAACCCAAACCATCTGCTAAAGGTGCAGAAATACGGGCTAGGCAAGAAGAGGGGTGTGATCTGCTCTCAGGAAAACACTACGAAAACAAGCATCTGACACAAGTSCCTATCCAGTTCCTTCTCCCTCCGCTCCAGACTCCTTCCAGGCGACCGGGCCAGTGGCCACTGATGGTCAGGAAGGGGATGGGATGTGCAGGGCACCAAACAGTGATGGAACTCAGGGAAAGGGCCATCCCTTAGGGAAAAACCCATCGCCCACCACAGAATCCCTGCCAGGCTCCGGGTTGCAGCCGAGCGCAGCGCCAGAGCATCTCCAACTGCCCCAAACTGCATTTGCACAGGGCTGCCACGACCCGCCAGACACCCAGAGACCCCRCGAACGGGAGGAACGGGATTAACACCCTGCCAGGAGAGAGCTTCAAGGGGAAAAAAGATCCAGGCGCAAAATGAACCCGGCYGCAGCTAGTCAGGAACGGCGCTTTTTAAACTGACGGATTTAAAGATTATGGGAGGATTTGAACCCATCTGCCATGTTTGGCCTCGTTTCCTTTCATAAAGCTTTCTTAGTCAAACTTCACTAAAAATCTTGTCAGCAATGACTGTTTTTGGAAGAATTTGTTTTATTTGGTGGCTTTGATAGACTGATTTCCTCAAGAGGGAGATTTCCGACGGGAGGCAGGAGGCGGCCGGGGCCGCGGAAGCTGCCGGCTGCTACTGCTGCGGGCGCCGCTGCCGAGGGCAGATCTGCACTCGAGGGGTCCCCAGCGGCGCGGGCCGCTCCTGCCGCCCCCTGCTCCTTAGCCGGGACAGACACAGCTGGGGTCAAACCCTACACCGAGGAAGGACACCCACGGCCTGGGAAGTGACAGGAGTTACTCCCTCCCTCCGGTTTGATTGGGTGCATGTGCCGAGCTGCTCTCAACTGGTTATTTATGGAGCATCTCCTTCTGGCATGATGGTTTCTTTGCCTGATCTAATCCCCAAATGAGTGTTTCAAGCAATTTTGATCTTTATTTCCCCTGTACAAACACTCTGWTTTCAAAAAAGAAAAATGCTTTCCTTTTCTTCTGACAGGAGTTGATAATTTCCTCCGCTGGCTTTTTCCCTTCCTAACAAACTGCCATCCATCAAAACGACTGCMGGGAGGAAGTGACCGAGTAAGCGACGGCAAAAAAAGAACTACATGATTCACTGGCTGGTAAATTCTGCGTTAAAATGACAAGCAGATTTGGAAAGAAAAAACAGAAAAGGAAAAGAAAATAGACCTTCAAAGCTGATTTCTTATGCATCATTAAAATGGGACATGATTAAAAAAAATCCTGCGCCCTTACTTTAATTATTATGTCCTTCAGGAATTGCTGTGACTCAGTTCTTACTTATTGGGTGACCGAGTGAGTATCGTTGATGGAGTAATAGAGCATTTTAATTACTTCACATTACCAAAGCACACAGTCCTTTAAGTGTCCTGAATAAACAGTCTGCAAATGGCTTTTTAAGTTGCTCAGAGCATTTGAGATTGAAGTAGTTTAAGAGAATCCTGTTGATAACGAGCAGGAGCCTAAACCATGTTGATAAACTAGTTCAAGCAAAGTATTTCAGGCCACCACAGCGCAAAGGAACAGCACAAGGTCATAGGAACTTGCTGGTGCTTTGACTAAGGGAGAGAAACKCAGATGATGGTAATTTTAGCAGATTCATTAGTTAACCTCAATTTATCTAAAAACTGAGAATCTTGGTAAGATTCGGGGATCAGGCAGATTTACAGCCACGTAGTGATGGTTGTTTTGGAAGATCAGCCACAAGCATCTCCAGCCTCTGGTTTTTATCCACTCTAATGGTAAAGCAGATCATTAAGAAAACTAGAAGGCATTTCTGACTGCATTAAAACAAAATGCCAGTTAAACCAGCACTAGCGACATGCAGGRAATGCCCCAAATATTCAGAGCACCAAGACACAGATACCAAAACTGAAGGCCCCTGTAACTGCTGTCTGTGGGACTCAAGTTTGGAGCCTCCGGCCCTGCACCAGGACACCTTACAGACCAGGCCCTGAGACTACCCGGTACACGCTGCTGAGCAAAGACAAGTGACAGGCGCTGAGAAAAGAGCAGTGCACGGGACACGCGCTTGGAAAAGATGCAAGAGGCTTCAAATCCACCCAAACCGTATTCTGTAACTTGGCAGCAAACCCTGCAATGGCAGGAAAAAAAGCAGGGCCACATCAATCAAGAGCAGTGCACGAGGAAGAAGGAAGTGCTGCTAGAGAGAGAACCATCCTTCTCCCTCTTTAGTACTCAATAACTGAAGTGGAAAAAGTTCCATCTCAGCTTGATCTGAGGAGAAAGAAATGTTTCACTAAACGCCGAGGACAAAGTCCAACCTGCAAACTCAGGCACTGGCATTGGGAGGGCTGAAACGACCTTTTCTGCTTTCCCCATAAAATGCAACTTTGAAAGAAATATAAATGTACCTGCTTCATCATAGGAGACAGTCAATTTTTCCAGCATTTCCCGATCAATTGATAGGATCTGCTGCTCCAGGATGGTCTGGTAGGAGAGCACGCTGTTCTCCTTGTCCCGCTCGTAGTCCTGCAGATGCTGCTTCAGCACCTCGGGCAGCCGGGACTTCACGTACTCCGCTGCGGACTGTAGGGAGAGAGCAGAGGGCCTAGTTAGAACACGGGCCTTGGACAGCCCTGTGTGCCCGCACCCAGCCCGAATTTTAAAGGAGCAAGTGACAGAAATCGGTCACCTCAGCAGCAACTGATAAATAACTGAGTTTGGACTGGAGGAGAGTAGTCAATCTTCACTGGCATTAGAGAATTACATATATATATCTATATATATATAGACACACACACACAGATACACACACACACACACGAAGTTCCTTCTGCTCTCCTTTAGGAAAGCAACGCAGGCTAACACCAGTTAACACCAGTTAACACCAGGTGGCATGGTTGGACTGCCTTCTGCAGCCAGAACTTTTAAAAATGGCAGGAAAAAAAGGGGAGAGTTTRCCTAGGATGAGCCCTGTGAAACTGCCGTCCTCTGCGGCCCTGGGAATCCTGCGGGAAGAGCCGCGGGACGCGCGGGAACACCGGCCACCCCGCAGGCTTGAGGCACCAGCACCTCTCACAGGTGTCACACACTGCTTGAGCAGAAGGGCCCTCTTTCCTGCATGACTTTTTTGTTCTTTCTTATATCTCTGATACAAGCCTAACTGGAGAAGAAAGTCACAGCCAAGCCCAGTGCTCCTGCTTCTGTTTTTCCATAAATGATGGAAAAACTACAGCACTCGCGGTCTGGAAGCCACCAGAAGTTCCCTCTCCTCAGCAACACGCTGGTCCCAGGTTTATATTTAGTTTTCCAAAGTCAATTGCTGATTAAATTACGACCTTAAAATATCGTTGAAGCCGTGTTCAATTTATCTGCAAGCTAAGCCATGTGAGACGAAGGAAATTATTCCGCAAAAAGTAAATTAACTCTCCACAGGAGAACAACATATTTAATGCTACATTTTAATAGTATTTTCTTCCTGGGAGGAAAGGCCAAAAGTTGCACTGTATGCTGATTATTTCAGTGCGCTGTCAAAATCTCAGGTTGGGACATTTCTGTTTAACGTTTCCTTTGAGAAGAGGCCGTGCTCAGCATGGGGAGGCTCTTTGTGCTGTCCACATGGCCCTAAAACAGGAAAACTGAACACAAGAAAAGTTTCCTTAGGGAATGTAAAGGCACAGACAACCTCTGAGCTTGACAGCACTAAAGCATTAACATGGCAAAAGGGAAAAGGGTGGAAGTTTTCCTCGGAGAAATGGTGCAGACGACGTGCACTATATCCCCAAGCCCCCAGCCTGACTATGTCCTGGGCCCAGCAGTGACCTCACACTCCAGAAGGAAGCACGTGTACAGGGAGATTACTACGTGTGTAAAAAAGAATAACATAAATGCAGAGAAACAAATGGAGATTAAGGTGAAAAGTGACACAGAGCTAAGGAAGGAGCAAGTGAAGTTTCTGCAAATCCATTTTKAAGGATAGAAACCCCAGGCAAACGCTGCCCTGCTGCACAATGGGGCAGAAAAGCCRCGGGCAGGGGATGCCGCAAGGCGCCAGGACCAACACGAACAACCTGCCCTCTAAAACAAGCAACTATTGAAAGAACAAACACGCCACGAAACACCTCCTCCTTGATTTTTCCTTTAACACAAACTCTTGACATAGCTAATACATTAGTTCTATTAAAAGTGCTTTTTTTTTATTTTCCGTCATAGGGGGAAGGGTAGGACAGGCACATGTCTTTCAAGAAATAAAAAAGATCCAAATTAGCTAAAACRGGGTCTGGGTGATACAGTTGAGCAGGGCTCCAGGGAGGCCTTCCAAACCCAGGCAGGGGGGAGCATCACGATCACCTTGTCCAGCACCCCGAACCGGAGGCCCCTGCTGCTCCCCTGGGTTTGCACGAGAAAAATACTCAGCTCTGGGTGGGAGGCAGAGACTGCCCGGACCCCCGCGATGCTCCCACAGGGGCCAAGGGCACCACGGCTCCGTCCCCAATATTTATCCCGTCTGTATCTTCTTGCACACTCAGCAACAAGAACACCCCTCTGCCTGGCAAATATAGTGAGAATAAGGAGGGTAAAAGGAGTTACTACCCTCATAAATGGAAACGCACGAGCACTTAAATTGCCTATGCACAGACATTAATTCTGCATCTTAATGATACCAGGAAGCCAGTTATTATTCATGGCCTTTTTAGGAAAAGAATTAAGATTAGTAGGTAAATTAAACGGAAAACTACCCCCACACAAAGCAATAATTGTGCAATACTTCTGTTAGTTGTAACAAATAAAGAACATAAACTGAATTTAAAGGTGATGATTTCAGAAATTCTGAAGAACACACAGATGTGGATTATTTTGGCAGGACAGGAGGCAAACAGAAATTGGCTTCCATGGSGCTGGGCATGGCCATGCTTAACGCACACCAATATTTGGGGTGCGAGACTAACATCCACAGCTGCAAAAGGCATGATCTAGCTAATGGAACATGAACGAGAAGCATTGAATGAATAAAAAAAAAAAAAAAAAAAAAAAGGAATGTCAGGACTTAACCCAATTTTACTGATAATTGGTTGTGCTCAACTAGTGACATAAACTGAACATTAAATTAGCTAGTGATAAAAAAAAAAAAAAAGGTTTAAAAATGCACGAAAGTACTTGCCTATTACCAGCTAACAGTGCAGGAAAATCTGGGTACCAGATTATGATTTATGGCCACAGGCAACTACTACAACATGAAAGCCCATCGAGCTCTATCAGCAGAGACCAGGTTTGCTGCTGAAAACCCACCAGAAAATTTTCAGCCAATGAGGAAGAAATAAAACATTTTCTTATATTACTATAATCAAATCTGAGCAATGGGGGAGCAATTTTTTTATATCAGCATAAAAGCCATAAGCAAGAGAAACAGAGAAATACTGAAGATAATGGTTGAAATATCATACAACAGCTAGCTTGATGGGAGCACCCAATTGCTCGTTTTGCAAGCGAGGCACTGAGCGGTTTTTATATCAAACAATGCTGCGTTTTGTGTTTTATCAAGCTCATCAAGTTCAATACGGAGAGTGAAAAAACTCACTTTGCAAAATGAATGTTACTCTGCACAACCCCTGAGAAAATGATGCTTGAAACTTTGCTACCTCAATCCTGCGTCAATACAGAGCCTGAGATGGAAGCCTCTATCAGCAATTAAAGTGCCTTTAAATGACTCTGGAGCATTTTGAGAGATATTTCAGTGCAGATACTTCTGCAAATACCAGTGGGATATAAGAGGTATGGGAAGAATCAGCTTTACCAGAAGCCTTTCATTCTGCTACTTCAGTTTAGGGAAAAAATATATTTATAGTTTAGTTTACAACTAAATAGCAGGAAGCATCTTGAGATATCCATTATGAAGACTTTGCTTTCACTTGCTTGTAATTTTAGCAAAATTCCACCAGCTGGTCAGGAATTCACGCTCTATTTTAGATTCTTACCCGGAAAAGTTTCAGTCAAAGCAACTGAATCTTTGTGGAGAGCAGAGCTAAGGAGCAGCACATTGGTTGCTTCTGCTCCTGGAAACTCAGGTTTGGCCCTCACTTCCTCCAGAGGYTCCATGAGGGCCAGGTCGTTCCCGATGGGAACCCACAGAGACGTGTGGATGAGAGCTGCAGTTCCCCAGGAGCCGGGGTATCCGTGTGGCWCCTTTGCACAGCATTGCCTCCAGAATCCCTCACTTTTCCTCATGGAAAGAGTAGTCAAATTATTACAGTACCATGTTGCTACATTATTCCAGGAGAATTCCAAGACTCCACAAAGCTCAGCAAGCAGAAAAGTGGTGGGATGTTCACATAATGGCACAGTGTCCCAGGAAAGCTTCTGCACTGCACCGTACAYTTAACACTGGAACTGTTTTTAGCTTTCATTTAAGTTCCCCGTTTCTCTAATTAGTGGCTTACAAAATTCCATATGAAGAAATCACATTAATAATTAGCCCCGTGCTTCATCCAACACTATAATGAGAAAGAGACCAGCWTCGAGACCCAGCAGTGCGTCGTGGAAAGGGCAAAGCAGCGTTTGCAGCTGCCGAGCCGGGATCAGGGCGAGCCCGGCGGCGCCGCTCGCTCCGGCCCTGCGGAGCAGGTGACAGAGGCCCCGGCTGGTTCCTCTCGTGCTCCCCGGCCCCGCGGGCTCCGCACAAGCGCCGCGGCCGCAGGCAGCCCGGCCAGCGAGGCCAGCGAGGCCGTGCCGCCTTCCCGGCAATTTGCCACGGGGCCAGCGACATTTCCCTTCAGCAACACGCACGGAAAGGAGTCTGTGGAGATAAGGAGGTGGAGATAAGGACTGCAGGGGCTCTGCTGAAGTGCAGTCATGGGGCTTCCCCTAGGTTTTCTCCGGCTGGCAAAGGCCACGGTGCCGACTCGTGCTGCAAATAAGGAGGAGGGAGCTGGCTGGAACACGCTGCCCCTTTCCATAAACCCCTGCTCCACAAGGTTGAAGCCCTCAAGGACCACCAATAAAATGGCCTCACACAGAAAAATTAAAGCAACTTCTTTGGTAAGAACCACAGACTGTCCAGAGCACCCAGGGCTGATGCCAGAGAGAAATTTAAAAGGGCACTTAGATGGCAGAGACCCAGGGACAGCGACTTCAGTAAAGAGCAACGCAGCCAAATCAGATCCCTAAATAGAAGGCCAGTGTTTCCGATGGGCGCTCCCCTTCTGCGAACACGGGGAAGCTCCCTYGGGAAGAAGGCAGAAATCCCACCTCGTTCTAGGAGGAAACACCCGGATCTGAGTGTTAGTTTTTCCTCCCTCTAGAAGAGGACTTAGCCAAGGACTATAAGTAAAGCAGAGTCCTGGTTCCTACCATCACTGCACAGCAGCAGGGGCTGAGCAATGAAATTGTGCAGCCAAGTGCCTTGTTCCTTGGTTGAACAACACCCTCCTGCGAGAAAAACTCCGAACAGGCACAGGCAAAAGAGACCATTTAACACGAGCACAACAAATTTAATGCTGCTTTGAATGCTTTAACCTAAGGGGCAAGAATTAACTCCATTCTATCCTGATGCACTGAAATGAATAAGAACGAGCCCTGCTAGG